ATTAGGCAAATCGGGCATTGTATAGTAGGCTGAAAAGTGCGTTCTGGCTACTAGGTACGACATATATATATATATATATATATATATATATATATATATATATATATATATATATATATATATATATATTGGTGTATACTGGCAGCAGGTTTTCTTTCAAACATGTTTCATTGAATATGACCGCATATTCTGTATTTATTATTTTCTGGTTTAGGGCTTCTATCCCTCTAACTATTTCTTAGCATCAGGGCTTAATTGAAATAGGAGTTCTCCAAAACTCATTTTCGTACTTTTAAGGTGAAGAAAAGAAGTGATTTACTATAGAGTGTATTACACTTATTTGTATAATTTGCACGACGTTTCGAACCTCCATGGTTCATTCTCAAGTGAACAGATCTTACAATACTAGTTGATTTTATACCCGCATTAGGTCAGGTGATAATACAATGAAGGTGAAAACATGGGGGGATACATAAGGGATAACCATAGGGGCTGCAGAAGGCTTATTGGCCCATACGAGGCATCTCCTATCTAAACACAGGATTAATCTTTGTGTTTAGATAGGAGATGCCTCGTATGGGCCAATAAGCCTTCTGCAGCCCCTATGTTTATCCCTTATGTATCCCCCCATGTTTTCACCTTCATTGTATTATCACCTGACCTAATGCGGGTATAAAATCAACTAGTATTGTAAGATCTGTTCACTTGAGAATGAACCATGGAGGTTCGAAACGTCGTGCAAATTATACAAATAAGTGTAATACACTCTATAGTAAATCACTTCTTTTCTTCACCTTAAAAGTACGAAAATGAGTTTTGGAGAACTCCTATTTCAATTAAGCCCTGATGCTAAGAAAATAGTTAGAGGGATAGAAGCCCTAAACCAGAAAATAATAAATACAGAATATGCGGTCATATTCAATGAAACATATATATATATATATATATATATATATATATATATATAGAGGCGGGACCAAAGAGCCAGAGCTCAACCCCTGCAAGCACAACTAGGTGAGTACACACACACACAACTTGGGGTGCCGTGTACTCAAGAATGAAAGGTATATATAGGAATTACAAAGCCTCTTGGGGTGTTGAAAGTATCTAATCAACATAAAACTCGCAACAATAAATTCATATGGGACAAATTTTGATTTTGAAATGATATATAAGCGCTTGTTGGGAACAAAGGTTAGACCATGAGTTAATATATATATATAGTTACAGAGGCAAATAGAAGAAATTATAAACCTTCCACATGAAGAGAAAGCTAAATTTACATTCTTTAGAAAGGAGAAGAGTTACGTTGTTGTTGTTTTAGATTCAGCTACTCTGAACCAAAAGTGCAAGTAGCACGGACTATGGTGAGCCCGTAGTGGACTTATCTGGCACAAGAGCGGGGCTGTAGGAACTGTGGGGTGATGATAAAAAAAAAAAGTTAGGGGTGACATGACTAAATGTATAAGTGAATGAAAGGGCACAGCAGAGCGGGTATTCATAAGGTATTAATTATATCAACATAAAGTAGAACATGAAATAATTTATATAAATTGTATAAGTTTACAGCCTGTTTATATAAAAAAAATGTAAAACAAACGAGATTAAATGAATCATTATTCATTAAATGATAAAGCATTAAATGAAATAAAGATGTTTTATTTTATTAGCTCGTACACATTAGTGCTGCTACCCTATGCAATAAGAGGGATTAGGGAGATTTTAAGGCAAGAGCTAGATACTAGTTTATCTAACATCCCTATATCAGAAGTGTTAATCACAAAAAAACAACATGGGATATGATTCCAGGATGCACTAGCAAACTTTGGGAAGAGTTCGAAAATATTTCTTTAATTTCCATGAGGGAATGAAATAGTTACAAAGCTCAGAGTATCTTATAGCATTTGGCCAAAAAATAATGGATTACAGGACGTTTACTAATAGAGTATTGCAGTGTCCTAGCTCATGTTTACAGTTTACAACTGGAGTGTTCACTGTTGGCAGCTTCATTACCTGCAGCCGCCTGCCACAGGTATAGATATTCCAACCTAATTCTGGCAATTACAATGTCATTATGTGTGGTCAATATATATATATAAACCCGAAAACTCTTGTTGAATCACTTGTGATGTAAAAAGATTATTGATGTGTACATGTATGCGTGTAAATGATTCTATATATATGTATGTATATATAACATTAATAACTGTGTAACTAGCTTCAAAAGAATGTCACTTGCTTAGCTAAATGAACTATGGGGTTCAGTTCATGAACTGATTATGTGTGTAACTTTCCATCACAGCCCACAGAATGGGTATATTATATATATATATATATATTATATATAATTATATATTTATATAATATATATATAATATATTATGTCACTGTTTATAACTTGTTTTGTTATCTCGAACCCATTGTTGATGGGACGACTTATACTGAATTTTGTAACTAGCTCATCAGGATTGTAACTTGATTAGCTAAATGAATTGTGCGGTTCAGTCCCTGAGCCCATTATGTGAATCTGTAACCCTTTCCACTACCGCCCACAAGATGGGTATGGGGTGTATAATAAACTAAACTGTTTATAACTCTTTTAAGCTTTAAAATACAAGCTGGAAATATTCACACACAAATAAATAACATCTAATGGTTGTACATAGACGCTGCCTCTAATAAGTCAGTAAGACTAATGCAAACGTTCATTCATATAGTTCTCATGTTCCAAAGTTTCGTTGAGCATGGCTCGACAAAATTACGACGGTGAGATGCTTAGTTCGAGGACTACATAGTTGCCAACAGACCAATAATCATTCAACAACCACTATCTGCCACCAACAGTACTTTTAGACATCCCATCGTGATGTTCAGAGTACCAATTCAAATAGAGCTTCGTGTAAATCACGGACGAGTATGGATATGAAATATATCAGGGCCTGGAGTGGGGACGGCTGGGCGTGTGTGAGAGTCCGTGGTGTTCTCACTCGAGCCAGCGTGGGAGCTCAGTGTGTGGTGCAGATTCCTGTTGCCAACAGCCCAAGTGCCATCACGCTCCCACTCATCTCTTCCAACACTAATCTGCCCCAATCTCTCTCCACAATTAACAGTGTAGCAAACTTGATACCAGGTAGGAAATGTGACCTTCCCCCCTCTTTCCCTGTTGTGATATATATAACAATGGTTGTCTACATGCGTTCTCAAGTACGGGAACAAAGTGCTTGTGAGTGAGGTCGAGCGGCAACACCGAGACGCTCTGGACGGGTACAGAACCCGTGAAACATTTTTGTTGTTTTGATGTGAATTGGTTGAATAGCGGCGATGAACTCTGGAAAACAGTCATTGTGTTGTTTTGTCGGTCATGCGTTAGTCGTTGCAGGGAAAAATTAGCAAAGAAAAGCATGGTAAATTAAATTAGTTTAATGGTAGGAAGTCTCTGATAAGGCTTCTGCTTGGTGTCTAATAATCAGGACAAGCAGTAGTGGCACCTCGTAACCAGCTGCGTAAGGCTCGTAATCACTTGCTGTGCTACCTTACTCCTAGTGAGCGCTCGAAATATATATTAAAAAAAATGGATCTGGTATATCGCTGTCTGCGTACTTTGTTCAATTCGTTTTAATGAGTGAAAGCATTCACTCGTATGCTTTTAGGATCGAGCTTCAGCTCCCGTGCTATAGAACTCGCCCGCCTTTCCTTCCTCCCTCCCCCTCTGTACTCGTATTTATTTTCGTGGGATGAGTTATGGTTTAATTCTTAATTGACTAGTGTATAGGGGTTCCAAACTGTGTGTATACTTATATATCAGCGTCAATGGGAGCGAGAGCTAGAGTTTTTTTTATGTCCCACCCACTGCCCTTGCTGTGTATCTGTTACGTTATAATTTTAACTATAGTAATTTTCGAATTCTTTGTCGAGTCTCGCCTTAAGTTGTGGATGGAGGTGGCTTCTACAACTTCTTTAAGTGCATTCCACTTATTGACCACCCGTACAGGGTACGAGTATTTCCTTCCATTTCTTCAGCTCATTTGCATCTATAGCTTACAATTATATTGTTTTCTCAATTTAAAGAGGCTGTCCTTCTCTACTCCCCTCAGTGTCTTGAATGTTGTGACCTAATCCGCTCTGCTTTTTTTCTATCTTCTATAGGGTTGTGAGACAGTCCCATTAGCCTATTCTCACAGCTTAACCCTCTTAACTCGGGAACCAATCCTGTTGCAAACCTCTATATTTATTCAAATTTTCAATGCTTCACAAGGGTGCAGATTTCATGTCAGTATTCCAGTATCGTGGTTCAATAAATGCTGTGTATATTGTTTAGTGTATTTGTATTTACTATTTCTGCCTGCAGGATCGAGATGTTAGCTCTTGGACCTCGTCTTTCTAACCGTCTGTTTTTAATGTACTCAGTCCCGACTTATTTTCTCTATCATGTCTAATACATATATGTCTCTCTAACACACACACATTCTCAGGATGCAGCCCATAACATCTGTTTAACTACCAGGTTGCTATTTGTTGCTAGGCGAACAGACGCATCATGTGAAAGAAACTGCCCATTTATTTCTGCCTCGGCGGAGAATCGAATCCGGGCTCTTAGGACTACGACGCCTGAGAATTGTCCACTCAGCCGCGAGGCCATGTACTCACCTAATTGTGCTTGAGGGAGGTCGAGCTTCGGGTCTTTGGTTCCACCTCTAAGGTGTCAATCAATTAGGTTCCTGAGCCTATTAGGCTCTATTATATCCATTTGATCATACTATATCTACCCATTTGAAACTGTGTATCGAGTCAGTCTCCACCAGATCACTTCCTAATGCATTCCATTTAATTCTTACTCTGACACTGAAAAAGCTCTTTCTAAAATCTCTGGTTCATTTGGGTACTCAGTTGTGCTTGCGGGGGTTGAGCTATGGCTCTTTGGTCAGGTCTTCTCCCTTACCCACTTTTCCCCTCCCTCTTTCTCTCTTACACATACACAAGAAAGTTCCCGTTTACAGAGTGGTAGACGGTTGGGACAAGTTAACCGAGAAGGTAGTAGAGGTCAAACCCACCATTAGTTTCAAGGCGTCATATTAAAAAAAATAATTACTGGGAGGAGTCTTAGAAGATTGTAAAGAAAAAGACAAACTTAGAAATAACTCTGATTAGAAACATGTAGAGGCTTCTCATTGGAATAAGAAAAGAAAGAATAAATTCCATCCATAAAAATGACAACAGAGAAGACCCTCAAAATTATAAACCTAACCACTTCTTCAAAAAATCAAATGTAACATGAACAAGGACCAACAGTATAGCTCAACAAGCCATAATGAAAGTGAAGGACAAGAGATGCTTTTTCACCCTTAAGGGTTTAATCCCATGGAACTGCCTACCTGCTGGAGTAGTAAATGTCAAAACATTGCTGCAACTTAGTATTCAACTTGATAAAATCAAGACAAATTTGGGAGACCTCGACCTCGGCTTCCTGTCCTCATCAAGGCCACTAGAGATATGGCAACCCTCAGGTAAATTCAGGTAATGTCCCTGTTTTAGGTTCAGCTATTTGAAACAAAAAAGTTCCAAGTAGTACGGGCTATGGTGAGCCAGTAGTGGACTTACCTAGCATAGGAGCGATACTGTATGTGTAAAGGGCTGCTTCTATGTGACTTTGTACATTTAAGTTTGCTCCTAGTTATTTGGATTGTCTCTTGTGGGGTGTGTGTGTGGGCACACACACACATATGCAAGTTTGAGAGAGAGACAGAGAGAAAAGAGAGAAAAGAGAGAGAAAAGAGAGAGAAAAGAGAGAGAGAAAAGAGAGAGAGAGAGAGAGAGAGAGAGAGAGAGAGAGAGAGAGAGAGAGAGAGAGAGAGAGAGGGGAGAGAGAGAGAGAGAGAAAGAAAGATGTTTGAGAAACATAACCACAATTTCACAGGGAGCACCATGAGGAGGTAATAGTAGCACCTACCTCCAATACCATGCTTTCTTTCCTTATTCCAATGAGAAACCTCTACAGATTTCTAATAAGATTTATTTTTGCAGATTGTGCATTCAGACTAGGAATATTCTTCAGTGGGCCATCTGAAACACAATCAAGGGAATCAAATAAGCAACAGGCAGCACATCCAAACAGAGGAAGTAACTATACTCAAAAACACTCATTCTCAAAGGACACCCTTCTAATTAAGAAAATGAGTGATGATCCTCCACCCTACTCCAAATCACCATTTCCCTATTCCAAGGTAGGATTTGTTTTTTTACTTAGTACACTGTTCAGATAATGTAGTATATGCAACAAGGATAAAAAAAAGTTGACAAAAATGCATAATAACCACAGTGAAACATCCTTTGAAATATCCTTACAAAATGTTTACTGCATAATATTATATATATATATTATATATATATATTATATATATCACTGATCAATTAAATCAGATCAATAATCACTGATCAATTAAATGCAGAAAAACCACATTTAAAAGAATTAAATACTGTACATGTTAGAGAGCTTTCAACTCTCGAGCCTTTGTCAGTTTGTCTTTAGTAGAGTGACTATCAGGAGAACAGTAGTTAGCTTTTTAGTTTAGTTCATTTATTATGCAACCCATACCCATCTTGTGGGTGGTAGTGGAAAAGGTTACAGAGGCACACAATGGGCTCAGGGACTGAGCCTCACAATTCATTTAGCATAGAAACAGCTTTATAGGTCCATTCCATGGGGGACCAGAAGCTCATGAAATTCCGACATGAGACAGAACACATGACTGACCTAAGTAAATACTTGGGATGCCAGCAGGAAACAAGAAATTAAGAGATGGGATGGAGCAAAATTTGCTCGAGTCCTCTTTGATCTGTCACTGTTCTAATACAGTACAGTATCTTCAATTTTAGTTCTGGATTTTCACGACTAGATCTAGCCTGAATTCCAATACAGTGTTGCATGAATGTTCAGAGTAGGGCATCCATCTCCTCCCCTTCCCCCTTCCCTGGGGTACATCCTTTGAAGTTCAATAGGTTCATGTAATTTCTCTGGTCTGAATTTTGTGACTTAGATAAAATGTACCCATCATGACACCTTGTGTCTGTTTTCCCTACTCTCAGAGATAACAGGCAGCATTGAAAATATGTAATGAAGATTTTAATATTATGTTCATATTTCTGACTGATTCTGAATGCCAATATGGCACTAACGCTTATACAGTACTAGTAGCGTCTTCCCCAGCCTTGTACGGTCATTGAATTTGAACAGGCTTCTGTAATAATAGAGTACACAAATGGACCCATAGAAAAACCTGCAAAGTTTTGCCACTGAAGCAAATCCTCTGAATGTTTGTAGAATAGGTTGGACAGATACATTGCCTATATATAAAATAAGAATTTGCCTTACATGAATGTTCAAGTTTTAAATTTTTTCGGCATACTCTTACTCCTATCTTTCATTACCATCAGTTAGTAGAAGAATCAGCACCACCTGAAGATGAATTATGCATGATGCCACCCTCTCAGCCTCCATCAGCAACTGAGTTCCACCACCATCACCACCACCACCATGAACAACCACCACCACCACCCCAAAATTACTTGCCCACACCCCAACAGGATTCATACCCCCAGCAACCTTCTGCACCTGTTATCAATGTGTTCCAGCAGCCTCAACCAGCAGTGGGATTGGTGGTGGCCACTGCTGGTGTGCCCCCTGGAATCTGCACCGTCTGCAGGGTGAGCCTACCTACAAAACAGACGATATGTTTATTTAAACAATTTTTGGTTTAGTAACTTTGATAGAAATTCTGGGTTGTATATGCAGTAATGGTCATATTATTTGTGCTTTCAAGTAATATTGGGTTGTAAGGAATTATCAAATGTGCCAAAAGGGGGAAGACACTGTAGCACTTCTGAGTAGCATATGCATTAATAGTCTTTCTATTTGTGCTTGCAAGTAATTCTGGGTTGTAGCTGCAGTAAATAAGTTTGATGCAGTGTGTGCATATACTGAGATTGAGAATCTCGATATCACTGGGATCAGTGAAACATGGGGATGAGAAGATATGAGGATGAAGATAGGACGAGAAAAAGATAGACGACAGTAAATAATACTGTAAATAATTAATTAAAATAAGTCCACTTTTGAATGTCAACCAACAAACTCACACTAAACACAGAAGAGACCTACTACAGTTTATTTGGTAGTAAATCATCTAATCAAATTCAAATTCAGATAGACAATGTTAACATTAGCAATAAAAATGAGGGAAAGTTCCTTGGCCTATACATAGACAAGAGACTTAACTGCAGCACCCACATACAACACATGACCAAAAAAAAGTCTCAAAATATGGTCGGTATACTCTCTAAAATCAGATATTATGTTCCCCACTCTGCTTTCCTCTATTAATAATAATTAAAATAATTTATTCACAAGAAGATACAATGGGCTGGTGAAATTACACAAGATTGGTATTTTTACATTCTTGCAAAGCCACTAACACTCATGAGGATTATTTTTTAATTATAATTGCATTATTAATAATTGAAATTACTATTTCAGGCAGGCCCTTAATCTAACATATCTGGCAAGATGAAAAGGTAAATTGTAGCAAGGTTATATATCGACAAATAACTACATTATAAATTGACAGAGGTGATTTCACTGGTAAAGATGTATGTCTTAAGTACAGTACTGTACTAATATTGGGAAAGAGGGTAGTACAAGATACATTCTAAAGATACTCTCATTTTACTGTGGGCTTATCTATCCCTATCTTACAATATCTGTGTAAGGGGTTCAACCACTGCAAATTACCCAAAGCCCTTTATCACTCTGCAAAAATCTGGTATTAGAACTATAACAAAGCCTCTTCAGACAACACAGCCCCTCTGTTTAAGTCCCTTAACATGCTAAACACACACTCCACACATTCTCACATGCTATTTACATGTACAAAACCTAGTTCCTAAATGGTAATCTCAATCTGAAACTTTTCCTTGATGGGTGTTAATAGAACCCATGAGCACCACACTAGAAATAAATAGCTCTTTGTTATCTTCAGAGTTAAACTAAATCTGTGCAAACACTATGCAAATAAAAGGACCCAGTCTATGGAACTCGCTCCCTAATGAATTAAAAAATTCTCCAGCTATGCCTTATTCAAAAGTAAAACCAAAATGTACCTAATTTCATCATCATAGTTTCCTACCTTTTGTTTCAAACTCACACTGTATCTTGTACTACCCACTTCTCCAATATTAGTACTCAAGACATATCTTCACCAGTGTAATCACGTCTGTCAATTTATATTGTAGTTATATGTTGATATAAAATTTTGCTACAATGTACCTTTTCATCTTATCTGATATGTTAGATTAAGGACCTGCCCAAATGGCTATGCATGTTAGTGGCTTTGCAAGACTGTAAACATATCAATGCTATGTATTCTCATGAACTCAATGTACCTTCTTGTATATACAAGTAAATAAATAAAAAAAAAAGGGCATGATCAGTTCCTGAACCAATTATGTGCCTCTGTAATCCTTTACACCACCGCCCACGGGATGGGTATGGGGTGCATAATAAAGAAAGAAATTGAATTGATCGATAAAATCCAGGTAGGGATGAAACTTGCCACAACATGTGGCCCCTATATCCAAGATGATGCAGTACAATTATAGAAATGAATAAAAAGGTCCAGGAAAATGACTTCCTAGACTACCTTAGAGGAGACTTAAAGAATGAGAAGGGGATTGCAAAATGCCACCGAGAAAATAGATCAAGACATGGAAGCATCATGGGAAAATTTTATGAAGGTCATCACTGACCCTGTTAAAAAAATTCAGGCCAAGAAGGAGAAAGAAAAAGTGGATAAATGACACATGCAGTGAAAAAAAGCTCTTCACAGTTAAGTGAAGCCCCTCTTGAAAAGGGGACAGGCAGCCAGTTTAATTCATTATGTTAGGGGACAGGAAGCCAGAGTGTATTCATAAAGTTTGGCTATTTTCAAGTTCTCCCTTCCCCCCCAAAAGCCGAATTGCTGACCCTGCCCAGGATGCAACCCTACAATAAGCTGACTAACTCCTGAGTACCTACTCACTACTAGGTGAACAGAGGCATTAGGTGAAACGAAATGTGCCCAATCATTTCTGTGTCGCCTGAGATTCAAACACAGAATTCTCGATTGTGATTCAAGAACGAACCCAACTGTACAATTGGGACGCTCTGTCGAGAGTTTGAGATATACCGAAGAGCATTAAATTCAGCTATATAGGAAATCAGATCAGCAAAAAGAAATTTTTAAAGAAATCTTGCTCAAAACATTAAGAATGATCCAAAGTCTTTGTATGCTTACATAAGAAGTAAAACCAAGACAAAGGACTCGCTGGGACCTCTAAAATATGAGACCAGCCACATTATAATAGATGAAAAATCTGTCTACATTCTGAATGAATACTTCAGTATTCACACTAGAAAGATAATCCTTCTAATAATTTTTTTTAAGTTATCCCCCAAAACACTACATATTAGTGGGTTTATATATCTGTACAGTACTTCTCTTACCTTCAGATTCACCACTGTTCATGTATATATATTTACTCTTATGTTCATAATAATAATAATAACAATTATTATTATTATTGTTGTTGACAAAAAATGTACACACCCACAATGACAGGACACTAATACTGTATCTGCTGGGCCTTTTTTTGCCATTATTTTATATTTTGCTACCATAGCAGAAAATAAATTGTTTTGTATGTTACTCAAAATTGTCAATTTAAAAGTAGCATTTGTTTGAGATTTAGAATTTTTGTATTATTCTCATTATATTATGTTGAGATTTTGCTGTAGTTTGTTAGGTTAATAAATGCTATTCATGGGAAAAAATTGAACTCATTACCAATCTCTGCATCAATATTGCACACTTTCTCATTTTCTGTATATCAACAGATTGGCAAGATTAAAAATACTGCATCATTTTGGTCATGGGTTTGCTGCATCTGCTGCCTCCCCTTTGGCATCATCCCAGGCATCATTGCTTTCTACTATGTGAATCGTAAGCCCAAGTGCAATAACTGTGGTTTCACAATCTAGAGACACTGCTTACTGCTTAGACCCTGTGTCTACTGATGGGGCTATCCACATGCTACTGGGATCATCAATACCTTCTGCTACTGAATATTGCCATACTGGTAATGCTGATGTAACAGCTTAAGTGGTTGGAAATAATGCTTCTTTGCTAACCTAAGCCTCACTTAACTAAAATTAAAAATTTTGTTACTATCAGTTATCCAAGTAGGGCCGATACTCATAATTTTCGTAAAAATTTTCTTTTTATTAGTGGTTTCGCGAGATATTTTACAAATGAATTTGAATATTGACTTAAAACTAAATTAATTCTTTCATGGGAAGGAAATGAACACAAGTAATCTCATGACGGCCATTAAGCCCGATCACTAAGAGCAGCCCTGATGCTAGGGCATGTTCCCAGTAATCATTGTTAAAGAGAGCCATTGCTTTTCTTTTTCTCAAATACAGTACCTCTTAAGACAGTAAATGTGAATCGCTTTTAAATTGAAGTTGTAGCTTTGTCTTAAGAGGGTATGCATGTCATAATTATAATATCTTTGTGACCAATTTTATGGCACCTTAAAAATCCTTCTAATTTATATTACAAATCTTTAGTGATTCAAGTTTTTGGTAGTTCAAAATTAAAATTTTCATCATTGAGAATTATCATGCCTATGTCTACTATGACATTAATATTATTACAGTATTATTATATTACTTTAAATAATTATCTTTTTACATTATTATTAATAGTATTACATTTTATTACTACAGTGGTACCTCTGTTTTCGAATTTAATCCGTCGCCAGAAATGGTTCAAATATTTAAACAAATTTACCCATAAGAAATAATGTAAATTGAATTATCCATTACACACTCCCAAAAATATTAACTTAAAAATACACTTTATACATACAATACTAGTACTTATATTTTGTACTACAGTATGTACAAGTATATCTTACCTTTATTCAGGACTCTTGTTGGCATATGGAAGACAGTGAGGAAGGGTGAAGGAGTAAAGGTGTTAGTGTTTGGAAGGGGTAGTCCCCTTCCATTATAACAGCAGTGATGACATTTCTGGGGTACTCTCTCTCAAAGTTATGCAGGCATACCACTAGGACCTCCCTACGTTTTAATACTTGTCTGTAGTGAGACATCACAGTGTCTCACTATGAATGATCTCTTGTTTTTCCTCTATCATCACCCTCAGAACTATTTTCTTAGGTTGAACTTTACCACTGACTTTCTTGGAATTCATGCCATGATATATATAATAAGAACTTTTATGTTCAGATACCAAAAAAGCACAAAAACAATGAAATTCTTCACAAAGAATTCTAGCACAGTAGTTACTAGGCGGAAGACACTGGTAAACTGACATATGCCACGCGCTCGGTTAGTTGATACATGTATCAACAAACTTGAGCACCGAGGCAAACCTTGAGTACCGAGTCAATTTTTTTTTTAAGAAATTGAGCCCGAGAACCAAAAAATTCTTTAAAGGTGCATTCAAAAACTGAGGTTCCACTGTATATTCCAGTGTTCTTATTGTATACTCTATATACAGTACAGTTATATACTGTAAATTGTTTGCTTGTGAATTCCTTACAGTTGTCACTGTGTGTATGCTTCGTCATGTATGTCTGATAAGTCCTTTTACTGTGTCCTAGGTGCTAAAAGCTTACTCTGTATGCTGCTAAAGGAATAAACATACTCTAAAAGTGATAGCTTTCTGTGCAGGGTCAAGATGGTGATCGTGGGAGTCCCATGGAAGCTGCTTTGCTGATTTTGTATTCTTAATTTACTTGAGAGCCACCATCTCTAGTGGCCTTGATGGGGACAGGAAGCTGCCAGCTTGTCAAAGGTCCCCTCATTATTCCTGAGGAATATTTTTTTGTATGGTACTGTACATTATACAGTATTGCACATTACACTAGAACACTGGTAAATATGCCCAAAGATCATTTAAATTAGTAATTTAGTGGTACCAGTGAGTGATATTTAGATTTCTTCATCATGGTCAGGTATCCTGGGGTTGGGGTAGATGAGGAGGGGGTTTTAGGGATACTGTGACAAGAAATAATCTATAAGGGGGGGGGGGGAGGGGGCCTGACAGCTGAGTGGACAGCGCTCGGGGTTCATAATCCCAAGGGTCTGGGTTTGATCCTTGGTGGAGGCAGAAACAAATGGGCAGAGTTTCTTTTATCCTGATGTGCCTGTTCACCTAGCAGTAAATAGGTACCGGGAATTAGACAGCTGCTACTGGCTGCTTCCTAGGGATGTGTGTGTGAAAATTTTGGGACTTGCCCGAAATGCTATGCATGCTAGTGGCTGTAAAAGAATGCAAGAACTCTTGTATATATAAATAAATAAATAAACAAAAAAGATGGCAGGACATTATTAGTGCTTTCTATTGAATTTAAGAGTTACTAGGCCTTGGCTATTGATTGTTAACAACTCTGAAGGGGTGTGTGCAAAGGCAGTTTCTGTGGTAGATGTCGTATAATGTGTGAAATATTTTAGGAACTAATAGTTTTAGAAATTACTGTATATATTTTTGTAAACATTTTATAATATTGTTTGTAATCATAATCTTTATTCAGAAGAATGTGTGTACTGTACAACGATAATAATAGTAATGTACAAGTAGTCCACAGTTTATCTTGGGATATACATCAGCATAGAAGACTGGGGATACCTTTCTCAATTGAACTCATATGATAAAAAAATCATATAGTTATAAGTGGTACCCATTGTACAATAAGGATTTGTAGACAGGATATTGTTCTACATGTAATTTCACACACACTGTCAGCAGTAATTTTAAGAAAGTATACAATGCAAATTTTCATTCTGCAGTACATCATTGATAAATAAAAGTATGGTATTAATTCAGAGTTGGTGATTTACCTGAGAGCCACTAAAACTAGGTGCTTCGATGAGGACAGTTCAGCTTGATTGTTTATTTCCTTGACATCATAGCAGTACAAGCTGAAAAATCTTGGACGTGTACCCCAGAATTCTTTTTAATACACACTCAAAATAGCTAAATACTGTAATCGAATCTAGGAAATAATAGGGATGAAATAATCTAATCTAGGACTAAATTTCTAATCTAGGGCTGAACTCATCAAGATAGGAACTATTTATGAAGCATCAATTAAGATAAGAACACAAGATATAAAGCAACAGGAGAGTAATACTATGCAGTAATAATAATATAATAAGCACCAGGGTAGTTGATTTTTTGTTACCTGGAACACACCTGCAGATGGTTCTGGGAGTTCTTCGACACCCTGAGCCCGGCCAGGCTTGACTTGTGATAACTTAGTCCAACAGGCTGTTGCTTGGAGTGGCCTGCACTTATTGCATAAGGTACTTTAGATAAAGATACAGGAAACAATGATTTTGAAAAAAAAAAAAAAAAATCCTCTGGATATGGAATGTATAGTACAAGGTACTTTTAAGACATGGGAGGAATAAGTCACATACAGATATAAAGATGTGATGTGAATATACAGGTACAGTATTTATAACATGTCATTATTATTGTAAATTTACCAGAATTTACCAGAGTATTATCATCACATCTTCATTACTGTACTTATTGCATCTGCACCGGCATCACTGACAGCGATGCTAACATGTGTCATGTATCATGTTGATGAAGCTTACAGGTTTAGGCAATGTAGATGTAGCTTACCTGCATTGTAAAATGTTAACAAAATTTAAATGTACAATCATTAATAAAGAATTATGATTATTATTATTATTATTATTATTAATGAAAAATAACTTTATTCCTCATATAAGCTGTAACAGGAGGTAATAATAAATATTACATATATTAAATGAAATGCTCATTGTTAATAATGTATAATTCAATGATCCCATGATCAATTCAGTTGTAATGCTGCAGAAGACAGTTAAATAGTTTAATCAAACTAAAGAAATACTAAACAGAAATGAATCTGACTGGAGAAATATGGTGAGAGGAGGTACTACAAGGTTCCATTTTGTGGCCAATCCTATTTTGTCATATACTGTGCATCAATAATTTATATTTTTTTAATAATTTTGTTTTAACACAAGCACTGTACAAGCGTTAGTTTTTTTTTCAAGTACAATGTGACCTATATGAGAATATTACAAATCACACCAGCAAATTTTCAGATGACACTTAAGATTTATGATAATGTGGGAAGTGACAATGATATTGAGGTTTTGCAAAGCAACCTACAGAAGCTGCAAAAGTGGTCAGAAGACTAGCAAATGCCTTTTAATATTTAAAATGCAAGACCTTGCATGTGGGGCATAACAATGCACATCACAATTACTAAATCAACAATACCTTGCAGCAGATTGATAAAGACAAGGACCTTGGAGTCAGAATCCACCAGCCACAACGTTACACGACAAGTGGAAGCTGTAGTATAAGCAGCAAACTAAATTCTATGAATAGTCAAAGTTACTGACTACTTTAAAGAAAAAGAGGGTTGTTATATAACTGCGTAAACCTCTGGTGCCAGAGTTTACTGTATAATAAATTTATTAAACACTGGGCTAGCAACACTACAAGCCAGACATGATAGGACTGATCTCAATGAAACTTTTAAAATATTGAAAAATGTGGAGGATATTGATCTAAACCCCTTCTTTAAGAAGACGCATTTAAGAAAATATGAAGGTGTCGGGTGATAATTCACAGACCCCAGTCAAACCTTCCCCCTAAATTGGTCAGTCAATAAGAACTGTGGTTGGATGGATCCATTATGACCAGGGGGATATTAACCCAAGGGCTACCATCTCAGGTGGTCAAAAACCTGGCAGATTTTTTATTTTTTTTTTAACTTGAATTTACCCGTCCGAAAGCAGCTACAGTATATCTTTTACGGCCTTGACTGGGACATGCAGCCAATGGCTTGTCACATGTCCCCTCATTATTCCTGAGGCCCCCCCCCCATATTTATGAGGACTATGTTGCCATGACAATGATGGAATCTGATCTGCATGCTAGTATGATTAAAGGCAATTAATTAATTCTAATTGAAAGTATTCAAGCCACGAGAGGGAACAGCCCGAGCTTGAGCCGGCATTTTGGCTATACAGGAAGTCAGGTTGTAGCATGCAAATTAATATATGTAGCCAAATCAACGTTACAAGTTTGTTAAATACTGTAGTTTGTTAACTTACACAGATTAAGTCTATTTGCCTTTTTTCAAACTAACATCACCATAACCCCAAGACTGAGAATTTGTTGCTTTATTATGGGTTCCATATGTACCCATCGTGTAGGTAATGGAAAAAAAAAAGTGTTCAGTAGTGGTCACATAAGGGGTTCAAGTACCGGACCCCGATGTTTAAACAATTTACATTTACGATGAGGTAGTTACATATAATTCTAATATGTCTATCATATATCCGGTCACACCCATCTATCTAGTGGACAACTGTGGAAAGATTACAATTACGAACATGCATAATCTACACGAGGCAAAGTTTGGATGCTTGGCTAAGATTTCTACAAATAGTACAGTACATCATTTTGAATAAAATACCCTCAGCCGCCTACCAGATCCAGGAGCCTGGGAGAGGCGCCATAAGTGGTTACCTCAACAGCATCGCTCCTGTGCCACTACGGGCTCACCATAGCCCGTGCTACTTGCTCCGCTCCTGTGCCAGGTTATCTATCCTCACATTCCCAGTGTACCTTCTTGTATATGCATAAATAAATAAATAAATAAATAAATAAATAAATAAATAAATAAATAAGCTACGGGCTCACCATAGTTCGTGCTACTTGCCCCGCTCCTGTGCCAGGTAAGTCCACTACGGGTTCACCATAGTCCGTGCTACTTGGAACTTGTTCTGAGTAGCTGAATCTATAACAACAACAAACAGTTACCTCATGCTGTGACCAAGTTAAACTGGCACAGGGGGTCCGTAGAAGTGCCAGGAGAACTCCCCCATTGGTCTAAGATCCACCAATCCCAACACTTCCTCAGGTTTGTTTACAATAGTTG